ACTATAGCCATTTATAGTCATTTATAGACCGTTACAAGAATGAGAAATCAGCTTTACTTAAAAGTTAATAAAAGTGTCTAAACAGTCTCATTGGAAAAGATCCTGATGCTGGGAAAGATTGAAGGCAAGAGGAGAAGGGAGGGACAGATGATGAGATGGTTGGATGGCATTACTGACTCAATGGAAATGAGTCTGAGCCAACTCCAGGAGATTGTGAAGGACAGGGAAGCCTGATGTGCTGCAGTCCATGGGGTCGCAAAGAGTTGGACACAGCTTAGTGACGGAATAACAGTCTCAGATTTCTTTCACAAGTGTGTAAACTCTAAGCAGATTAGTCTGTGCATCACACTGGCATGTTACTTAGAAGAAGAAAAGGTGCAGGCTTTGAAGCTTTGACACTCATCTGTGCTTAGGGATTAACACCAGTAGCAAACAGTACAGTCTTATTGGTCTATTTGCTAGCAGGTAACCTCCATTCTCAGAGAAGGCAATGGCACCCCACTCCAGTACTCTTGCCTGGAGAATCCTATGGATGGAGGAGTCTGGTGGGCTGCAGTCCATGGGGTCGCTAAGAGTCGGACACGACTGAGCAACTTCACTTTCACTTTTCACTTTCACGCATTGGAGAAGGAAATGGCAACCCACTCCAGTGTTCTTGCCTGGAGAATCCCAGGGATGGGGGAGCCTGGTGGGCTGCTGTCTATGGGGTCGCACGGGGTCAGACACGACTGAAGCAACTTAGCAGCAGCAGCAGCAGCAACCTCCATTCAAGGCTGTAAGACTATAACATGTTCTAATTCACCTCCCTAATTTTCCTCAGCTTCCCTCCAGAGGGTCTGCGGCTCCTCTTTAGTCCTGGGATAGTGGAAGCTGAAGTGGTTGTAGTCCCCAGAGGAAGAGTGATATTATTTCACCATCATTGCTTGCCCATCTGAGTCCACAGTCCTCTGCTCTTGTGCCTCCTTGAAGACATTACTTCTAGATTAAAATCTCCTGTGCCCTCCAACAGCCTTTCCCTCCCATCCTTCTAGAAGTTGAGTGTTAAATTAATAAGCATACAAATAAGTACAGGAAAGCTGCTGTTCTATAGAGTTATACATGGTTATGAAACTCGACACATTGGCTGAGCCCTGAATTTATGCCAGCTGTCAGATATGGGTCATCTCACGGGCTCGGCACACCCGAATGAAGTTGGGTATGCCGTTCACAGCTGGGAAAAGGCAGGCTTAGAGAACTGAACTGAATTCTAGCCAGAAAACCTAAGAAGTGGTTTTTATTCTCTCTCTTTGCCCAAGGCATCTCAATCCAAAGTCAGACTCTAAATACAGAAACTTACAATAGAAAAGTTCATAAAGGAAAATGTGTAAGCTGAAAGAAGAAGATTGTGAAATACAGCCGACACCTTGCAGTTTGCCCACAGTGAGTGAGGTAAGAAAACAAATTTCAGGCTCCTCATCTCCCATTTTTATGCCTGCAGGGACTGGAAGCTTTACTGGCCGATTTCTTCAATTTTCCGCGTGTGCCTGCAGCTCATGGTTAGGCTGAGAAGCAACAAGCTTGCCCATCTACTGCTGGAACAGGGCTTATAAGCGCAGGGCCCCTGTGCCCTAGGCAGACACAGGGCTGCAAAGTGGCGGCTGCCTTGGGGCCTGAAAAGTCAGTGTGAGTCCTGTCTCCGAGTGCCTCCGGCTCAGCGCCTTCCCTGACCTTGAAGCAGGTGTGGTGAGCACTCCTGCTTACCCAGCTAGGACACCAGGTCCCAGCCACTCCACTTGGGAAAGAATACTGTGATGGTGTAACACAAGCTCCTGAGTAAAAACTGGTTTCCCTGTGTGATAGCGCTCACTGAAGTTGGTCTCCAGAATCTAGCCTGGCCCTGGGTATTCAGCTTTTCTATTATTTGTGGACCTCTGAATTTGTGGTTCTCGTGTAAGAGGGAAAAAAGGAATGATGGAAGAAAGAATAGAAGGAGAAAAAAAGGAAAGAAGGAAGGAAGAAGGAAGAAAGAAAGAAAGAAAGAAAGAAAAAGAGTCAAGATGAAAGAAGGAAAATAAGACGGGAAGGAAGATAGGAAGAAAGTAATTGATATGTTTTTAAAATTTTTGCTTAATTTCTGAATGAATGCCTTTAATATGTTCCATGGGAACGGAGGGGAAAATTCCCCCAGAGTAATATTCCTTGGGCCCCTTATCTCTGCATGCAGTTGGCCTGGCCAGTTTCTTTCTTGGACAGAACTCTCTGTTGCAACAGTGAAACCTCTCTGTCTACTTCAAACAGAAAAGACGTTTCTTAAAAGGCATTAGATGTGCAGAATGGTTAACTCCAGGCTGAGCTGTGGGGGCACTCCCTGCCCAACCATGCACCGAATGGCCTCACTGCTGTGTTAAAATTAAATGTCAGAATTTTAAGTACTGCCGCCTATATCTCAGCCACTTCTGCATTAAAAATGTGAGTGCTCAACCTAGTGGAATCCAGCTTGCGCCAGCCGTGTTACTAGACCTGGAGGTGTTTGCCGATCAGAAAATGTGGACATTTCCCAAAATGGTTCCCAGAGTGGGCTGAGCACCTATTCAATTGTCTAGCTGATGTTCTTGGGATTTTTATTTTTTGCCTTCCCAGAACTTCTGGCCACTATTCACATTTGGAACTGTTATAAAATGTGACTCTCCAGGTTCCCTGTAGTGATGGAAATAGTTTTAGATTTGTAAGAAAAAATAAGAGCCAACACCAGTCTCCAGATTCCAGGGAAGACTGACCTATATCAGAGGACATTTTTCAAAACAAAAGACCTGTACAAAATTCAAATCGGAACAAAGACCCAGGTGGCAATCACTGCAGTCCCCTGTTGATCCACTTTCCACAAAGCTGAAAATTCATGCTTAAAAACCAGTGAGGCTCAATCAGGTATAAAGGCACGTGCAGTAATCTGAAACACGTGAGCTGAGTTCTGATTTGCTGCACAAAGATCTTTTGCTCCAGGATGTCTCCACTTGGTGATGTACATGAACTGCACCCATGATTGAAGGACTAAGACAGGTTTTAAGAGGAAGTTAAGTGGGGCAAGGGAAAGAAATGGATTCCCCACTGCAAATAGTTTAAATGTAGAAATTCTCTTTTAGGCAAACCTTTCATGAATGCATGAATGACAGAAGCTTGTGGCCATGGATACCTCTCGCTCTCATCTTTACTAAACTGGAAATCCTTATGTACTCATGGTGAACAAAATATTAATTCTACTCTTGTTTGATACATGTCTACAGAAAAATACTTGTGCTGATACTGGCATTATTTGTTTTACTTTATTTTAATTAATTGTCAAAGTAATGAACACCAAAGGTAAGGATGCTTGGAAAACACAAAAAAGCATTTACAATAAATAATACAAACCAGTGACAGAAGGAAAAATGTCACTCCAAAATCTCTTCATTTTGAACCATGACAATCAACATTTTGGCTCTGTCTCTTTTTTAATATGTATAATCACATGGGTGTGTGCTAAAATGCTATGTGATCAACATTGTATCATAATTATTTTCCACATCATTAAATATTTTTCATCAACAACATTCTGAGCAATTCTGTTATTTCATTATATGGATATACCACAGTTACTTAAGCTACTTACATTGCACCTTTTGGAGGTTTCTGGTTTGGGCTATTATGTATATTATTTCTAAATGTTTGCATAGAAACCATTATGTTAGCAATTGATTTATTGAAGGAAAAGTTGGATATTTTAAAAACTCCTAGTAACAATTGTCAGATAAGAAGATGTGGTAATATACTTCCAGTAGACATAACTGTAATCCAAATACTTACCAGCCTGGCATCAGGCCAATTTCATTTATTTAAAATGTAACTAAGTAAAGGAATATATGATGTTGTATCAATTAGTATTGATGTGATCTCTAGCATTAATTTTTTACTTTTATTTTCAAACACTTGACTCATTTATTAATCACCTATTGATATAAGTTGTAATTATATTATTTTATTTATCTTGCATTTATATTCATCATATAGTCTCTATAATTTTTATCTAATAATTTACTGCTTATAGTTGTAGTAATATATTTGCCTGTTGATTTGGAAATCTAAGCCTTAGTTTTGGTGTTATTATAACTTGTGATACCTTCTCTTGATTTTAGACTTAACAAATCTTGCCCTATTTGCACACATTTAAAATAAAAAGATGAATTACATATATGTATACACATGCTTTAAAAGCACAGTATTAAAACAAGAAACACTATGTATTCAGCTCATCTTAAGAGGCAGAATAATATTGGTGCCACTCAGTTGAGCACATTTACCATTTTGTCCCCAGAGGGTAGACGTGATGAACGATTTTCTGTTTAGTGTTTCCTTATTATTTTAGTTTACAAAAAGGGATATATTCTCTAAGTAAAATGTTACTTGACTTTGCCATCTTTTAAAATGTACCTCTATGAATAGTCTCTGTGCAATCTTTCACAGCTTTTTTTTTTAACCAACATGATACTCTTTAGTTTCACTTATGTTTATGTGTGGACTTCCCCCGTGGCTCAGCAACAAAAGAAATCTATCTGCCAATCAGGAGCCACAGGAGAAGCGGGTTTGACCCCTGAGTCGGGAAGATCCCCTGGAGGAGGGCACAGAAACCCACTCGAGTACTCTTGCCTGGGAAATCCCATGGACAGAGGAGCTTGGTGGGCTAACAGTCCACGCGGTCACAAAGAGTCGGACATGACTGAAGTGATTTAGCACGCACACATGTTTATGTGTATAGCTGTGGTTTATTTTCACTGCTCTATGCTTTATTTTGCATATGTGTAGCAAATTTAATTATATAATCTACCACTGACGAATATTTATTTTTCCAATATATTTTCATCTCTAAAACATGCTGCTATAAACATTGTTAAACATGTAAACATTAGGATTCGGCTGAGATCCACTAGGGAGAACTGTGAACATTTAATACAAAGACTTGGTAACTGGTAAAATACTCTTCACTACAGAAGAAGGGTGAGGGAGGATGGGAAGGAGAAGAGCGGTGCAAACACAGACCGCAGCTACTGCTCGGAGGGGAGACCAGGGAGAGCAAGGCTGGGACCCTGGCTGCTTTGGACACGGCGTCGGAACCGGGAGGCAGCGTCTGGCATGAGCAGGATGCTTGCGGGAAGATGCAGGCAGAGCTCCACGGAGACAGTGCTCTCCGGGGGTGAAGCGTTCGCTGGCGGGTTCAGGATGAAGCTGGTCCCTGAGGGCTGCCGAGGTGCGGGCTGCCAGGTAAACACGGCCGGAGAGAACCTGGAAAAGACGCCCTTTCCCCGCCATGTCTGGACGGCCTCCGTCTCTCGCCTTCTCTCCGTGGATGGAGCTCACCTGCAGCCAGCTGCCAGAGAGGACTGTGCGGCGGACCCGTCCCTGTTCACACAAAGCAGGCAAGGAAATGAGGATGTTGGGGTGGGCGGCAACGACCCACAACAGACGCAGGTCTCCTCACGCTGATCATCTAGTTCCTTTTTTTTTTTAAATCATCGCATTTTATTTTTTTATTTAAATTTATCTTTAGAGGATAATTGCTTTACAATGTTGTGCTGGTTTCTGACGTGTATCAGCGTGAAGCGGCCATAGGTATACAGATGTTCCTCCTTTCCTGAACCTCATTCGCACCTCCCAGCCCACCTCACCTCTTTATGTTGTCACAGAGCCCTGGATTTGAGCTCCTTGCATCATACAGCAAATTTTCCAGGGCTTACTCCTAGGAGTGGAAATGCACGTGTGCATTCCATCATTTCTAAGAAATGCCGAAATGCTTTAGAACTATTTTATACTGCCGGCAGGAGGAGAAGGGGATGACAGAGGATGAGATGGTTGGATGGCATCACCGACTCAATGGACGTGAGTTTGAGTAAGCTGCAGGAGTTGGTGATGGACAGGGAGGCCTGGCGTTCTGCAGTCCTTGGAATCGCAGAGTCGGACACAACTGAGACTGAAATGAGCTGAACTGAAATGATACTACCGATTGTGAAGTGTTATCTCATTACGCTTTTATTCATCCTTTTCATGATTACTTAGGATGGTTGAGTCTATTTTCATATTTTAATGGATATTTCTGTTTTCCCTTCTGTACAGTGATAACACAAACCTTTTGCTTGTTTTATCTAATTTTGTGTGTGTGCACACATGCCCTTTTTTTTATTCTTACCAGTTTTTTTTTAATATATTATGAAAACGAACAATTTTTTTATATGTTTTACAAATATCTTCTCCCCAGGGTCAGTGTATTCACATTGTCTTTTGTTTAATATACTTTATTAATTTTAATGTAATACAAGCTAATAATTGCTTGCTTTCCTCATGGCTTGGGCATTGCAGACTTAAGAATTTCTTTCTTTCTTTGGGGACATGAAAATATTCTGTCAGTTCCCTTTGAACATTTTTTTAAAGTTTGGCTTTGAGTTTAATTCTGTGATCCATTTGGGATTAATTTGGGGGAGAAGGTAAGAAGAGGAATCAGGATCTATTTCACTTTTTAAAAACATATGGATCGTGGTCCTTGTCCTGTCAGTTGAGGAGTGCTTTCTCATTAGATTCAGAAGTGGTTCTGTTTTTCTTTCAGGGCTGTGTACTGTGTTTCTTTCTGCTCTGATTTGTTTCTGTAAGTCTATGACAGCCCACAGCATCCTCAATATTACATTTTTATAATAAATCATGATTTTAAGGAGAGTGTTTCTCTCCACCTGAATCAATAAATGGGCACTTCTGCAAATTCTATATAATTAAGCAATGCACTTTTCAAGTTTCATGAAAAAATTAATTAATTTTTCAAACAAGTTTTTGGAAGAATTGGTATTTTTACAAGGAGTCCTCCAACCAATGGATATGTTTTTTGTTTATTTGAATATTTTTTTTTTTTTAATTTGTAGACAGTTTTAATTGACATGGCACTGCTTAGAGTGGTTTTGATCTTTGGTGGAGCTCCAGAAAGCATTTATGAGGCACTCGGGGAAATGCATACATTCACATCTCAAACTTCACTTAGTCTGTAGTTTAAAAAAAATTACAATTTGCTATGCCCAGAATGTAAATTCAATTTAAATGAAAACATTTTCTATTGAGCTTTCCTTAGATCTTTATCTTTAAAACAGAACCTGCTGTTTTTAAAATTTTACTTTTATTCTTAATTACTTGATTTGCCACAATTAAAATTTCATATAATCTGGAAAGACAGTGGTCTCATTCTTTCAACCTTAGGTGTTACAAACCAGTCCATCTGAAAACTGTATTTTTAGAAAAAGACATTTTTTTGTCTAAATGTTCAGTGTTTAAATGAACATTTAATGCTCAGGTGCACATAGTCTTACAGGATCAAAGCAAAGTGGATATTCTAAATAGATCCTGGCAATTAGGTGACGGTTGAGGCTACTTCACCAATAGGAGATAGCTACATACCTCTGGTTTCCTGTGGGGCTCAAGTTTTACTTTACACAACTCTGTAACATATTCAAAGTATGTTCCCTTCCATTATATTTTTTAAAAAAGGCTTATGGAGAGGGGAATGGCAACCCACTCCAGTGTTCTTGCCTGGAGAATTCCATGGACAGAGGAACCTGGTGGGCTGCAGTCCACGGGATTGCAGAGAGTAGGACACAACTGAGTGACTAACACACACACAAATAAAGGCTTATTGTTACATTCAGAAAAGTTTTGAGTCTCTATTGATAGCTGTATTGTTGGTTTCTTTCTGCTTATTTCTACTTTTGTAAAAAGTATTTTAAAATCTGTATTTTCCAATGCTATAGTCGATTTATAGAAATGTAGCTGACTATTTAATAAGGATTTTACATGTAGTCCCCTTGTGGTATAAGACATAAAACAAAGGCCCTATACTATGTGCTGTCTTGACATCTGGGATAACGAGGAGACCTTGAATCCCACCTGCGAGCCCTTATCTTTACTCTGATCCTGAAGACAAGGAACCCTAGACAAACCTCTGTTATTAAGCAAACTAGGCCTTGTTCTCGCTCATCCTGGAGAAGTGGCTTTGCTTTCCGGCCGGCCCGTGGGCTTATTCAAACAAGCCAACCACATCCCCCTGTGGGAACCGGGGTACCTGACCTCACTGATCCTACAGAGCCAACCCCGAAAGCCCTGCTTATTCTCTCTGTTCCCAAGCACAGCTCCCAGGGGGCTGTGTAATGTGCCCTGTCCTGTTCCCCAGGCTCTGAGCCTCTGTATTGAATACACAACTGTCAGTCTCAGCTTTCCCATGTTGGGTGTCCTGGGCTTGGCCAACCCTGTGATCCTGAAGGAATGTCTCCCATGCCAATGCAGGGAAGGGATGACAAAGCATCCCCCTGCTGCTTACTTTTAAATTCTAACAACATGTTTCTACTGCTTGTGATTTTTGATAAACCAAACCCATACTACTCAGTTCAGTCACTCAGTGTCCGATTCTTTGTGACCCCATGAACCGCAGCATGACAGGCCTCCCTGTCCATCACCAACTCCCAGAGTCCACCCAAACCCATGTTCATTGAGTCAGTGATGCCATCCAACCATCTCATCCTCTGTCGTCCCCTTCTCCTCCTGCCCTCAATCTTTCCCAGCATCAGGGTCTTCTCAAATGAGTCAGCTCTTTGCATCAGGTGGCCAAAATATTGGAGTTTCAGTTTCAACATCAGTCCCTCCAATGAGCACCCAGGACTGATCTCCTTTAGGATGGACTGATTGGATCTCTTTGCAGCCCAAGGGACTCTCAAGAGTCTTCTCCAACACCACAGTTCAAAAGCATCAATTCTTCTGTATTCAGCTTTCTTTATAGTCCAACTGTCACATCCATACATGACCACTGGAAAAACCATAGCCTTGACTAGACAGACCTTACTGGGGTGCCTCAAATGAGTTGTAAATAAGTTGAAAAGCTTTTTTTTTTTTTTTTAATATCAATTCAGCTATGCTAGACTTAGGGTTATCAGAGCCTCAGAGTCAAAAATAAACATTGTGTTGTACAAAGGGTACCATTTTCAATAAGAATTTAACATAAAAGCTTTCCAGCAGCCAGATTTAGACAATTATATCATCTCAAAGAGTGACAATCTGGTGTCTTCTTTTCCAAAATTTGGAAACTTTAACTCTTACCATTTTCTGAATTCTTGTATGACTAGGGCCTCCAGTGAAATGTTGAACTGAAGTATGCATGGCTAATAATCCTGACTTTATCCTGAATTAATATTCTACCATTAAATAGCTTCTAGTTTTTTGCATATAAATTTTTCTGGTTAAGGTAGTTTCTTTTTTTCCTTGTTTCCTATGACATTTCTTGTAAATCATTGCAGAATCTATTGAACTATTTTGCAGGATGTACTGAGATGATCACATAATATTTATTTTTTATGAATTAACAAAAATATGTATGGTGATTTATACCAACACATCTCACAATGTCAAACTCACTGTGAACTACTGACATAAACCCAGTTTGATCATAAATTTGATCATAAAGCCCAATCATTTCTGGATTTGGCTTCCCAGGGGGCACTAGTAAAGAACCTGCCTGCCAATGCAGGAGACAAAAAAGACACAGGTTCAATCCCTGGGTCAGGGAGATCCCCTGGAGGAGGGCAGGGCAACCCACTCCAGTATTCTTGCCTGGAGAATCCCATAGACAGAGGAACCTGGTGGGTTCCATAGGGTCACAAAGAGTCGAACGCAACTTAAGCAACTTCGTATGCATGCATATTTCTGGATTATATCTACTAACATAGTTTCAAAGTTTTTCAAATATGTTCATGAATTTTATTAAATTACATTTTTCTTCTGCTTTTTTCTCATGTAGGAATTGGTCCTGCATGAGGGTGTGGGTAGGGGTTCCTGGCAGATAGTAGAGCAAGGCTGAGGCTGAAATGTTGGAGAAACACCACTCAGGATTCCTGGACATCAGGTACAAGGAGGCAAAGGGCCATGCAAAGCAGGTAGAAATGCAGGTCTTTTAAAAAAACTTTGTGTTGAAGTAGAGTTGATTTACAATGTTGTGTTAATTTCAGGTGTACAACAAAGTGAATCGTTATATATTACATGTATCCATGCTTTGGGGGGTTCTTTTCCCATTTCAGCCATTACAGAGTATTGAGTAAAGTTTCCTATGCTACACACAGTCAGCTCTTGTTGTCTATTTTATATATAGTAGTTCGCATATGTCAGTTTCAGCATCCCAATTTATCCTCCCCCCATACCCACTGGTAATCATAAGCTTGTTTTCTACATCTGTGATTCTACTTCTCTTTTGTAAACAAGTTCATTTGTACCCTTTTTTTTTGTATTCCATATATGAATGATATTGTGATATTTGTCTTTCTGTGTCTGACTTACTTTACTCAGTAAGTAAGACTAGGTCCAGCCATGTTGCTGCAAATGGCATTATTTTTCTTTTTCATGGCTGAATAATATCCCATTGTATATTTGTACCACATCTCCTTTATCCATTTCCCTGTTGATAGACATTT